ACCTCAGTTTCCTTTTTTGTGTTTTAGCTGTGCTACGGTCATCGTGGGGATGGAGTGGACAGCAGCGCTGGGGGGTAATCAACTCTGTTAAGGACAGTGTGTGTCGGCGTATAGGTCAATCAACAAACACCTCCACTAGCAGCTTTTAGTTGGGCTAAAGCACAGACGGGGGTGGCTCCAGGCGCACAGTAGGCCCTTGGGAAGTACCCGGCACATAGTAGGTGTCCTTAGTATACATAGCATCTCCAGAAGAGATCAGAGCCAAGGGCTGAGTCGCTCTGTGTAGTTAAACCAGGTACTGAGGGCTAAGTACACCGTGCACTTACACTGTTGAGGTAAGTGTTGAGGGCTGAGTGTCCCAGGCAGCCAAGGAGGAGCTAGGCTGCCCACCCCAGGCCTGTCCCTGATTCCTTCGTGTGTCCATGCATCTGGCAGGCATTGGTTCAGCGCCTACTAATGTCCAGGCTCTACAGCGTGGAACAAAACAGGCAAAACTCCAGGTCCTTGAAGGTCTGAGTTTTTCTCCCAATAACGGGGACTGAACCCAGGGCACTGCACTGAGCTGAATCCCTGATCCTTTTTATTTTATTTATTTTTGTATCGGGGATCAAACTCCTGACCTTGCATTTGCAAGGTAGGCACAGTGCCACTGGGCAAATCTCTAGCCCTTTACTTTTTATTTTGAGACAGGGTCTTACTAAGTTGCCTCCTGCCTCAGCCCCCCCAGAGTGCTGGAATGATGTTTTAACGTGAGCCATAGAGGTGACCCCAGGCAAGTAAATGACTCCAACGGTGAGAAATTCCAGGAAAAAAAACATGAAGCAGGAAAAAGCAAGCACTGCAGATACATAGACAGGTGGTCGGGACGCAGGTGGAGGGTGCGGCTGTGCAAAGTCCCTGGGGCAGCACGGAGCCAGCCGTGGTGCAGAAGCAGCAGGGAGCCAGGGGCAGGGAGGGAGGCGGGGAGGCGGGGAAGGTAAGGGCGTCGTGCAGGGCCCCGTGGGCTGCAGGGAGGACTTGGGCTGCCATGGAGGGCTGAGGGCAGAGGGGAGGACCTCACTCGGTGCTCACGGCGCCCTCTGGCGGCTGTGGGGTGGGCAACAGGAGCCGGAGCCGAGCAGAGGGGACTGCGGCCCTGGAGTCCCCCGACCCTGTGACCAGCTGAGGCGGGTCTCCGCCTCCCCTTCCCCTCTCTTCTCTCCTTCCTTATCCCCCAACCCAATCAAACCAATGCAGCTCTCAGTTTGGAGCAGACACTGCCAGTTGGCAGCACTGTGGCCCTGGGATGGCCACGGTGTCGCTAAAATTATTAACTATTACAGACACGTGTGTCCTTCACCCGGTCACGTCTGTCTTCCCACGCGTGTTCTGTACCACGAGGACTTTTAATCTCAGCATCTCTAACAGTGCCTGGTGTACACAAGGTCTTCAATAAGTGCTTGTGCCCAAAAAGAATGTATGTGTTCTATCCTATCTCCCCTCTCTCAAGACAGGGTCTCACTATGTAGCCCAGGCTGACCTTGAACTTGCAGCGATCCTCCTGCCTCAGCCTCCTGAGTGCTGGGATTACATGTGTGTGCCACCCTGCCTGGTTTAAATGCTTCTTTCTTAGGCTTCCGTTGGTCAGTTTTGCAAATTGAACACCCTCCTCTTAGTGAACTTCCAAGCAGAGAAAGTAGCAAATCACCTCCCTTCTTTTGCTCTCTATACTCCTGTTGATTTGATCCAATTTCCTCCCCCACTTTTCCTACTGTTCTCTTTCTGGAAAGGAAAATGTTAAAATGTGACGATGTAGTCAGCAATGCTTTGAGCCTATTGACAATCCAGACTTGAGAATCAAGTCATGGCAGAAGAGCTAAAAAAAAAGAATTCATTCTCATCTATTAGGAGGAGAAAAAAGATGCCGTTTCAGTAAGCCCAAGGCCTGTAACCATGGGATGTAAAGATAGACACTTCCTGTCCCCCAGGGGCTGCTTGGCCAGCAGCTGTGAGGGCCAGGCCTGGGGAGCGGCTGGGGCAGGCAACACAAAGAGGCGGTGATTGTGCGGAGGGGAGCTTTGCCAAGAGCGGCGAAGGTCACGACGCAGGGACAGCATCCTTGGGGCTTTTCCAGGACAAGGGACATGGGACGGCAGGGCTCTGCTCCCACAAGGGGGGTCTCACCGCTCTGCCTGGCTCAGGTCTCACACAAATCTGCGTACTCCCGGGGAACAAGAGCTGCAGACACCGCTACTCATGGGCAACCTCAGCAGAGGTTCCCTCGTCCCGGCCTCAGTTTCCCTGTCTGCCACATACAGACACCGTTTTGATTTTCTGTACTGCGGGTGGGACCCAGGAAGCTTCACACTGAGGTGCGTCTCTGGCCCTTTGTGTATGTGGAGGCAGGGTCTTACGAAGTCACTGAATTGCACAGGCTGGGCTCGTACTTGGCGATCCTTCTGCCTCAGCCTCCTTAGCTCTGGGATCACAGGTGTGCACCACCGTCCGGCCGTAGGTGCTGTTTTAACCCCCAGCATGTTGACATGGCTGCCCAGCCTCTAGGGGGTTTGCCCAGGTCACCCTTCATGTGACCCCAGCATCCGGTCTTCACAGAGGGACCGGAGGCGGTGCTGCAGCATGGACCGAGGTCCTGCCTTCTGGGGAGAGGGGACGGGCAAGCAGACGGATGAGGACAATCACCGGAGGTTGTGACAGCCGCTACAAAGAAATACAAACAAGGGCCAGGTGTGGCGGTGCACTCCTGTTGTCCCAGCACTCGGGGAGGCTGAGGCAGGAAGATTGCAAGTTTGAGCCCAGGCCAGGCAACTTAGCCATTTAGCCAAACCCAGTCACAAAATAAAAAAATAAAAAGGGCTAGAGATGGAGCTCAACGCAAAGGCCTCGGGTTCCATCCCCCAGTGCTGGAAAAGGAAGGGAGGATTCTGAGCCCATCGCCACTTTGCAGGGCAAAGGTTGCTAGGCTCAATTAGCGATGCCTTGGCCCCAACTCTGGCACAGAGTCCTGCTCCCAATTAGTGATGTCTGAGCAGGCAGCTGCTCGGGGGCTGCGGTTCGAGGGTCACACATCCGCAGGGCTGCTGCCTGGGGAAAACCTCTGCACCCTTCTGGAGAGGCCAGTGTGACTGACAGCTCCTGGACCTGGACGGACGGGGGCCCAAGGGGGGCTGCACAGCATCTCCTGTGACTCCGTCTCCTCTGTCCATCCTCAAGGAAGCATCCTGGGTGCTGCTCCCAGTTTTGATCCCCCAGTGTCCCCGCCCAGCGCTCTGTGAAATTCCACACCGCGGGCTGAATCTGCTCCTCTCTGGGCCCCAGTTGGCCCAGCGTCCACGGGGCGCGAGCCCCCAGCCTGCCAACCTACAGCTGCTGTCTTTTGTTTTTGTGTGACAGGGTCTCGCTACATAGCCCAGGCTGGGCTCCAAATTGTGATCCTCCTGCCTCAGTCTCCCAAGTAGCTGAGATGGGAGACGGGCACCATCATGCTCGGCTCTCTTTTTGTAATGTTCTCCATGAGACCACAAGAAAATGGAAAGCTGCTGGTCATGTCATACACCTGTCACCCCAGCTACGTGGGAGGCTGAGGCAGGTGGGTCGCAAGTTCGAGGCCAGCCTGGGTAACTTGGAGAGCCCCTGTCTCCAAACACAAAAGAGGAAGAGAAAGAGAAGGCGGAGAGAGGAAGCTAAAGGGAAAGAAAACAGCTCAGGAGTCCATCTGCTGGGATGGGTTAGACAGTCTGGTGTTTAATAAATGTGAACAAATGTTCAAGGCAAACGTGCAGAGTCGTGCTTGAGCGGTGGGAAATGCCCAGGTCCACGCGGACGAGCAGATCCGCGGACTGTGGCAGCTGCCCAGGAGGGTGGACGAGCTTCACTGCTGGAGAGAGGTGGGGCCCAGCGAATACGATGAGATCCTGCTGGGACCACTGATCCTTCACAGCCAGAACTTTGGGGGGTGCAGGGAGCATTATCAGGGCGGAGCTTGGGGCCGGGGGTCTCTGGATGTGGATGGTGGGGTCACGCAGCATTGTGAGTGATCTTAGTGCCACCAGGTTTTTTGTTGTTTTTGTCTTTTTGTTTGTTTTTTTTTTGAGACAGGGTCTCACTGTGTAGTTGAGACTGACCTGGAACTCACTATGTAGCCCAGGCTGGTCTCGAACTCACAGCGATCCTCCTACCTCAGCCTCCTGAGTGCTAGGATCACAGGTGTGCGCCAGCAAGCCTGGCTGTTTTTGTCTTTTTCAGTGAAGGTCTTGCTATGTAGATCAGGCTGGTTTCAAAACTCACAGAGATCCTCCCGCCTCAGCCTCCCAAACACTGGGATGACAGGTGTGCATTACCACACGTGGCTCGGATTGTGCATTTTTAAGTATTCAAAATGATACATTTTATGGCATGCGGATTTTATCATAATTTAAAAGAATGTCAGCCTGATCTGTTTTGTAAATGGAATACTACACAGTCGTACAAAGGCGTGAATCTTTGCATACTAAACAGAAATCATCATGGAGGTGTTTGGTGTTGGGTTGTGGTTTTTGTTTGTTTGTTAGTCTGTTTGAGATAGGGTCCTGCTAAGTTGCTGGGCTCAAACTTGCGATCCTCCCGCCTCAGTCTCTTGAGTGCTAAGACGGCAGATGTGCACCACCACTCCTGGCTCTAAAGATGCCTGGTTAAATGATAATGAGGAAGACAAAGGACTGCACATAAACACACACTCGTGTGTGTGACAGAGCAGGTAGAGAAAAAATTCTGCACAGTGGCCTTAGTGTGGGGTTTGTGGTTCCCGGATGGAGAGACCATAACCATGGCTACCTCTCACAGGGTTGCTGGGCAACCGAGACCAGGATAGGGGGAGGACTTTTTTTTTTTAAAAACCTGTGAACCCTTTGAACCTCAAAAGGCAGAAAAGTGTGACAGCTAAAAGCCCAGCTCTGCCAGGGCCGTGTGACCTTGGGTCAGTCACTCGACCTCTCTGGACCTTTCTACTCTCTTCTCCCAAGCAGGACCGGGGACCCCCGGCTCAGGACTGTGAGGATGAGGCGACCTTGAAGTCGGTGGGACTCAAGCGGGAGCAAGCGTGATGTGAGCCTTGCTGCCGGCCTTGCCCGGCCCCGGTCTGCCCTCTGCTGTCCGGGGAGGAGCCGAGGGACGCTCTCCGGCTTCGGAGACTACGCCGCGCCTGGCACCCCGCCCCCGCGGGGCATCCAACCTCCAAGCTGGTGAGCTCACCCTTCTCCCCCCCACTCCTGCCCCGGCCCCTGGGACCCTGGCCGGGGCAAGTGACGCAAGTGGGGGAAACCCAGTCCCGGGGGGCCGAGGCGTCCCTGCCAGCCTTGCTTGCTGGGGACGGGGCGAGAGCGCCCCCTGGCGTTGGCCCTCGGCGCAGGGTCGAGGGCGGGAGGTGTCAGCTCTTCGCCTTGATCAGCATCTTGAAGGCGCCGATTGCCACGGGGGCAGAGAAGTCACAGCTGCGGTGGGAGGGGCCTGGCTCAGGGGCCCCCGAGGGACCGGGCTCCCCACCACCCGGCCAGACTCAGACGCGCCTGTCCCTCCACCGCCGCTCCTCAGGCGCCCCCACCTCTGCTCTGCCCTTTGGGGCATGGAGACCCTAAGGGGATGCGGAACGCCCAGCTAGAGGACACCACCGTCACCCATGACTGCGACCGTGACCGCCTCCTGGAGAGTGGCTTTAAATCTTTTCTGTGCCTCCAAGAGGACGCAGTCCCACACATGACTGTGTTCCTCATGGGGACATCTGGGGCCCCGGCTCTGGAAGGAATAACAATATGCCTGTCGTCCCAGCACTCCGGGAGGCTGAGGCAGGAGGGTTGCAAAAGCAAGCCCAGCCCAGGTGGCTTAGCGACTTGGTGAGACTCTGTCCTCAAAATAAAGAATGAAAGGGAGATGGCATGTCTCTATCTTGACCTCTCTCGAAGAGGGGATTGTCCACGGCAGGGAAACTGAGGCCGGGGCAGGCAAGGTGAGGCCTGTCTGTGCTGGGGGGCCCGGGGGCCCGGGTGCAGCTGCCGGAACGAGGGACCAGCTTCTCTGACCGTGCCAGGCCCAGAACAGGCCTTAAGGCACAGCCCAGGAAGGGACAGTCACAGGGCTGGGTCCACGCACACGGAGGTGGCTGTGGGGGCAGGGAGGGGCCCACCTTTGGGTCCAGCGTGGCCAGAGTGACCAGAGAGGGCCAGGACAGGTCTGGGGTGGCACAGCGCAGTGCGTCCTGCCATGGTGTTCAGGAAAGGGGAGTGGAGGGGAAACAGGGACGGGGAGGGGGGGACGACAGAGGTGGGTGGCGGCCACGTGGGCTACAGATGGGTGGGGCAGCAGCCGCACTAACTGTGATGACGTCATCCCGACGCCCCCTGCACCCCGAACCGGCCGTGTCGCCCAGCCCCGCTGTGTCCTCCACATCCCCACTGTGCCCTCGCGGGGCTGACCTGCGGTGTGCAGGGGCTGCGGTCGCCTCCCTGTCCCCACCGCCCCACTGCCTTGGTGGGCTCCTTGCTCCCGGGCTCCCCGCAGGCTGCTGC